CTGTACTTGGAGTTTGTACTTTTAGACCCAGACCATTTCGCTGATAACTGTACACCGCCTCGTGTCATCTCGGCTGATCTAAGACCGCTCTACACATGTTTGCAAGTTCTACCCCCTCTATTCTATTCACACTCGAATGCTTGGCAATTTCCACCGCCTCGGCCACCAGTCGCTGTGGTGTGAATCGTAAACCCCGTCTCAGGATGTCCACATTTTCTAAATCTATCCTATGCCCGGTGTCTAGAGCATGCCCTGCCATTGCTGAATCTTTGACTGACCCCTGGGATTCATCTGCGTTTCTCGGTGGTCTGTTAATGGAACGTTTATGCTCACCGATTCTGGTGTGCAAGTCCCTGGCTGTTTGACCTATATAAACTTTCGTACAGTCGTCACGTTTTATTTTGTATACACAGTTCTTAGTCCTATCAACCGGAAAGCGATCCTTCAAATGCACCAACACCGAGCTTAAAGTTTTCCCCTTCTGGAAAGCTACTCTAATGTTAGCCGTATTCAGTACCCTTCTAATGACTTCAGATGTCCGTGTTTTTTATGGAATGATCGCTGTTCCGATCCACTCCTTGTTGGGCCTTGGTGTTGGCACCAATACCCGTCTTAGTTACCAAGCCCCTCTGAAAAGAGACCAATTGCCTCCAGTGAAAAGATCAATAGATTCAACGCAGTCACTACTGGCTTGAAGGTACCAGCATTTGTACCTAAATTCAGCATCTTGCCAGCTCACTCTTATGACAGGCTATCGTCAGCAAAGTGAATGCAAAAGATTCCACGCTGTTCTAGGAACCAGGCTGTTTTCACTACAGCAAATTTCCACGCATATGGCGGAGGGGCGCCCAACTAAACGGGGCTACAACAATGGTCATCCCCAAAATGTTAACTATACTTGGAAGCTTTTGCACTTATGGAGAATGCTGTAGCTCTGGGGTTTGAACCGTTTGTTCGGTCACATTGTCGATCGATCGATTTTGTTCTTGCTGTCTTTACCCGTCCATCAACCAGGACACTTACTCATCAGGTGAACATGACCTTTCGTTTGTCTTCTGACTGTCTGATCCGCTTCTAGATGCACTTGGTTGTTTTTCTTGGTGTGGTGAGCTATGAAACGATCAGTCCTATACTTCTCTAGGATTGGGGTGGAGAGGGCTGTTGAATACCTATATGGAACCAAATTCGACCGCGAAAACCTCAGATGGTTTATCCCAGTTTATCCGGTAGCCGTGATTGAACACCGTTCTGGCTGCTCAGCTACTTATGCCAGTTTAAGTAGTATGAAGAGGCTGATGGTAATCTAGCGGCTGCATACCTCACGGTGATTCCGAAAGCGTGGGTGATTCCGCCAGCAGGAATAAGTTCGGGACACTAATGTTTTCCTGTCGCACTTCCTCTTG